CCCTCTACTATCTCAAATGGTATGGCCCACAGACAGTCACCGAGACATACAATTTGACATTAGATGGGGTGGAGTTGCCATAGTGGCGGGGGGGGGGGAATTAAGTGCACATAGGAAACTAGACTCCAGGGAGAAGAATTCTCTATCCAAGGGAATATAAAACATGATGAGCTGTTTGCCAGGACTTCAATAGTCCTTCAATAGGCTAAACACCGGAAGTTGTGGGAATTCAATCACAGTTCTCCATCAAGATACGCTTTGTTTATAGCTGCTGCTTCTTTTTTGTTCAACACTTCATCCACAGATTTGGGCAAACAACAACAACCTTCCCCCAAACACTCAAGCCAATGAAATATCATCAACAGAAATGCTTAACAACAGGGAAGCTGGACAAAAGCCTACGCCTTCAGATCTACATCCGGATAAACACTCCCGCTGCAAAACTCTGCAGCTGACAAATCCAATCCCCGATTTAAAATATGTTGTACGAAGGACACAAATATATCCTGCATTTTATCAGCTTCATGCCTTTTCAGCTATATTAAATATATGAAACACAGATTAATCTGGCATTTAATCAACATGATGCAATCATTTGTACATCCTCTATGAAACAGAAAATCAAGGAACAGATTTGGATATGGCAGGCCACAGGGACAAACAATAACTCATCATCCTGATGGCAGCATTGTACTTTCAAAGTGATCAAATAATATCCCATTGTAATTGCATTGATTTTCATGAGAATTTAGAGGCTACTTCTGGTCCCAAAATATCTCCTGATGCTGATGCTTCTTTGCTGCTCCAGTCTTTACAAACTGAGATTATGCAAATAATATTTTGAATTAAAACAATAGAACATTGTGTGCATGAAAGAGAGTTCTATCGAAATAGAAAATTGTGGAACTTCATTTCAGTTGAATTTTCAGTGCCATTTTTGTTATTAAATTAAAACCACACGAGATCATGTAATTCCCCTCTAATATGTGGTTGAGTGCCTATCAGATTGGAACAAAATTGGAAACACCCCAAAACAAGGTAGTGACTTCTGCATACTCACAGTTTGTGAATAAGATGGAAAACAAAATTGCCTAAAAGGAACCTGCAAACTTGTTTAGGGAAGCTTTTAATGTTTGAGGTATTACTGTATTTTAATATTGTGTTGGAAGCCGCCCAGAGTGGCTGGGGAAACCCAGCCAGATGGGTGGGGTATAAATAAATTATTCTTGTTGTTGTTGTATAATATGAACATAACTAGTCCAGCATCCTGTTCTCACAGTAGCCACCAGATGCCTCTGGGAAGCCTGCAAGCCACCAGAAGAGCTCTCTCTCTCCCCTCCATAGATTCCCAGCAACTGCTGTTCAGAAGTATTACCGTCTGCAGCTGCAAAGGCAGAGCATAGCCATCATAACTAGCAGGCATTGACAGCCTCCATGAATCTGTCCAATCATCTTTTAAAGCCAGCTGGTGACAATATGTTAATGGCAGATGAGCCTGCAGAGTGCAGTAGGGAGGGGCAAGGTCTAAGGAACCAAAGGTCAGGCAGAGTGTGAATTTACTAATCCAACTTTGTGCCTATTTGAGACACTGACTGTTTGGGTATCAAAGGCTGAAAAGAAAAGTGGAGGGCAGAGAAAGAGAGGGAACTAACCTACTTAAGACCCTGATGTCTTATAATAAATATCCTAGAGCAAGAGAGAAATTAGGAGGAGGATATGCTTTTATAATTTCCAGAACTGCATGCCCCCATTCTCTATTTAATTATAATATACTCAAGCACATGGGCGGGGCCAGAGGGGACAATAACATCAATAAAAATCAAGACAAATCTGAGGTTCTGCCCCTCCCCAACAAAAGCTTACCCCCTTAAAAAAGCCTTTCCCCCCCCCCCAACAAAAATCCTGCTCAGACAGCCTTCCATTCAAAAGATAACAATTCTAAACATGCTTATTGGGCAATAAGCTCCAGCGAACACAATGGGACGTGAGTAAAAATTCATAGGATAGTACTGTAAATATGTATTATACAGCCAGAGGAGACAACTATTGGACAAGCAACCCCCTTTTTTCTTCTCCTCACTCCTGAAACACACACTCTCACACTTACCTCCCCAAGGACCTGAGCACTACTACAAGGTAGGTTGACCAGATGCACAGGAAGGCAGGGCTCTGCATCTTAGCAGTTGTGTATACGAGGGATTTTCCACAGGTGCAAAACAAGGCACATGGGAGGGAACTATCCAACTATTAAAGATACAGGAACCTTCTCTTCCCTTCCCCCCTGGGGCCCACACACCTTTTTTAAAAAATAAGTTTTGCATATAAAAACATAGATTCATAAAGGAACAGCAGTTTGTCACCAATACAGTCAACCTTGTGCATGTACCATAAGGAAGTATATGAAATCAATGGCTGATGTCTGGTTGATCCATTGTGATGAATGGAAACTCTGTATCCAGGAAACTGTCTCTGTTTCAGCTACTACAATCTGCCAAATATTGCTGATTCAATCACTAACTCCGCAGTCAGATACCAACATCCAATTTTGTGCTGCTGCAAGAATGAAGATTACTAAATGTTTTAAGCAAAAGTTTGGTTTTGATTATCTGGAAATAAAGACAATGAACGAATTGAAATTCTGGAGGGATGGGTTATGTATGATATTAGGCCAAACAACCGGAACCCAAAGGTTTTCACAGAGAGAAATTTCTACCACATATACTAGTAGCTGGCAACATAAGATGAGCCTGATGGATCAGGTCAGTTGTCCGTCCAGTCCAGCATCCTATTCTTACAGTGGCCAACCAGATTCCTACAGGAACTAAGCACAACAACCCTCAAGAACCTCCAGCCCATGGCTTAATTAAATCCACCAGGCCTCTATTTGTCCAAAGAGGCTGTTTTGGCCAAACCACACACACTGGCCCTAAACTTGATGTAATAATATGACATCAGGCAAGAGGCAATTACAAGTCACAGCCACACCAAAAAGGCATTTGCAGGAGTCACCAGTCATATACAAGTGCATTCTTTTTTCAGAATTTGCTTTTAACAATGCTGTCTTCATCATCCTACTGCTATGAGTTTGAGTGTGGGGGCAGACTCCCCATAATGCTGAAAACCCCTGGATTTAGATTGTGCTAACAACCCAGACCAGCTTGGCATGGTCATTAACAGGGGACAAAGAAGGCCAGTGAAACCATCCGAGGGCCAGTGAAACCACCAGAGGACAAGACTGCCAGACAGGGAGGATGTCATGAACTAGCTCTCTGACAGAGGGGCTCCTACTCCAGCTGCGTGTGTTAGTGGGTGGCGAAAAGAAAGGGTTTAGGGTTTCAGTTTGGACTACAGAAGATGAAGGGAAATTGTGGTGTTTTGCAAGTAGATTGAAAGGCGAGGGAGAAGTGGGGCCGACAGAACTCTTGGCAGGCTGGCTAGAGCAAGCTGTAACAAAGGGACAGGAGGTATGGTTGGTTCTTCTGTCTGTAGACCTAATCCTACTGCTCCGAAGAGAGGAGCAAAAAATCGTCTTGAGAAGTGAATGCTAGAAATCCTTCCACTGCAGACTCAGGTTGTATATATGTGTAAATAAATGATATTCCATAAAGACACTACAGTCTCCGCTGCACCTAACATCTGAAGGAAACACAAACCCTGGGTAAGCGCTGCCAACTCCCCGGGACACTCGATCAGAGACTGGAGTGGCGTGTAACAACACCTTGTGGATTTGGTTTACCAAGCCATAAAGTTTTCTAGCGCTTTTATGGCAAATCTGGAGGGGAGGAAATTAAAATAGTCTAGCATATGATCAGTGCTTCAAGTAAAACAGTATATTATGGGATATGCACACTAACGGTGCTGTGTTTTTATTTTAACGGTTTATTCTTTCAGCTGCTAGTATTATTTCCTCCATGGAGGAAAATCACACGTGACAGCGTTAAAACAATTTATTCACTGCCAATTTCCTTCTGAAAGTGAACAATTATACTAGCATTTAGAAGAACTGGACACTTCCCCCTAAAGTTCCTTACGTGTAATCCATAAAGAAACAGAAACTCAGCAGCTTTCTTTATGTATAGCTAATTTCTTCAACGTATTTTGCCTTTCATAGAATTGTTTAAGACAAGGTAAGCATTTAATCTCTTGAACAAATGTTTCAGTGCCACGGTCAAATTTACACTAGATTGCGAGCAAATTGGCAATTTTAATGGTCAACATAACTAAGCTAAATGTGAATGGTAAATACAATTTTATCTGATTGTGTATTTTTAGCCAACAGAATCTGATTCTGCAAACAATTGTGCAGAGCTTTGCATTATGATTTTTATTGCAATTAGGTCAATTCCTTGAATAAGCTCCTTTTGGTGGTTTCTGTTCTAAGAGCTTGTGCCTCTTTTCACAAGCTACTCAAAAGGGATTGTGACTGACAACAGGATCAAAATGTCCCAAGGCACTTCCAGCCACTCTTTTAATTATGATTTACATAGAATAATGGCTATTATGTAATCTTTAGACAAAATTTTACCAGTGCTTTAAACCAATGCTAGAGCAACACAGCAACTAATAAAAGTCATAGTATCACAGAATCATAGAATTGTAGGGTTGGAAGGTCCTCCAAGGGTCATCTAGTCCAACCCCCAGCAATGCAGGAATCTCAGCTAAAGCATCCAGGACAGATGGCAATCCAAGCTATGCTTAAAAACCTCCATGGAAGGAGAGTCCACCACCTCCCAAGGGAGACTGTTCTCCTGTTGAACAGAGTCATTTTAAAGACTAACACATTTATAGTGTGTCTAATTTATTTATGACCCAAACTGATTACAGCTCTTACAGCAAACTCATAGGATCACCACTTATGCATCGCTTTAAAAAAAGAGGAAATGCATAATCAAAAGAGAACGAAAGAGGAAGTAATTTGCATAGAATGTGCATGTGCGTCACACACAGAGACACAGAAACTTAGAAAGAACTGCTATGATTTCAAAAGAAACACCTCTTACCTACAGTGAGGACACCTGTGAATCTGTGCGCCTGCTCAGTCTGTCTAGGTGGTGTTGATGGGAAACTTCAAGGCCACACTTGGTCTCCCTTCTTAGGACTCCTCCTATTTACTGGGGATTCCTCCTGACTTTCTTGCAGGACATTTACGCAGTTAAGATTGTATCTAGCCTTTATTGAGCGTTTGTTCTGATCTGTTTGCAGGGAGGTCTTATGACAAGGAGCCAATTCGTTCCTAGGAAATATAGCAAACAGGACATCAAAAAAATATTAAAATAACAAGAAGCACGATTAATATTTTTATTTAAAACATTACAGCCAGGAGGAATAAATTCCGAATTTGATCTTTCAGTTTTCATTTAATTACAGCAATGGGTATTGAAATGTGTGTCTGGATGTGAAATGTATGAGATGTAAGTACTAATAGTATCATGTCCATCCTCTACTCCACCTCCTCACCTCTCTACTAATGTAAAACACCTGTTGAAAAACCTATAATGAAATATATCTGTAATCAAACAGATTACAGCTATTCAGTCTTGTATGCTTAAGCCAAGAAATTGTCTCTTCAAAGATATGTAAGTACATAATTATTAACTTTTGCATGAAAATTGATTCTTTGTATATACAGTAGTACCTCGGGTTAAGTACTTAATTCGTTCCGGAGGTCCGTTCTTAACCTGAAATTGTTCTTAACCTGAAGCACCACTTTAGCTAATGGGGTCTCCTGCTGCCGCCGAACCGCCGGAGCCTGATTTCTGTTCTCATCCTGAAGCAAAGTTCTTAACCTGAAGCACTATTTCTGGGTTAACGGAGTGTGTAACCTGAAGTGTATGTAACCTGAACTGTATGTAACCCGAGGTACCACTGTAGTGGGAGAATTTATATTTACTTTGTATTCAATTGAACACCTAGAAGTGTATTATGTTGATTCTGATAAGATTCTGTTTGGATTATTATCAGTTAGCGCTAGTAGACGCATCAACGGCACGAGACAACTGAAGAAGTAATATCTGGGAGATCCTGGATTTGTCCCTCAGAGAGACCTTAAACTCTACCTCCAAATACAGTTTGTGAAATAAGGTAGCAACTTATACTGCAGTATCCTAGAAGGGAGTTTGGCTGTAGGCCAGCTTCTTAAATTATGTGTGTACCTATGAGAAAGAGAGGATGGGGTCACAGCCAAAAGCAAGTCAGATTTGTAATTCTTCCTGGCATTTCCATTTAAAAAGGGGGGGGAGTGGGGCACCTGTGGCCCTCCAGAAGCTATTGGATTCCAGCTCCCATCAGCCACAGTTAGTATAGCTAATAGTCAAGGATGATGGGAATTGTAGTTCAACAACATCTAGACATTTGGTCTTCAACCCTGGGCTGTTGTTGATGGGACTACAATTCTCACCATCCCCAGCCAGTCGGCACAATGATCGGGGTGATGGGAGTTGTAGTCTAATAATACCTGGAAGGCACCATGTTGGCTACCTCAACATATCCTGGTGCCCTCCACATGGTCTGCACTACAGCTCCTATCCTTGGCCTTGCTGACTGGGGGCTGATGGGAATTGTAGTCCAAAACATCTGGAGGGCACCAGGCTGAGGAAGGTTGACCTAAGGGTACAACCAGGTGGAATCTTTTTAAAAAACCACCTAATATGTTAAAAGTCATATAACTGAATTAAATATGAATACTATTTATTTATTTATTTTAAAAAATAAGTGTTTGGGGTTTGTTAGATATACTAGTGCAAAGTTGGTTCACACCTGTGTGTTCATTACTTGATAACCGCAGCATCAAGTGACAAGCTGCGTCTATTAATGAGCCACAAATCGCACACAGTCAGCTGCAAGTTCTCAAGTCCTGAGTAATCAAGTTGATTACTTGCATATGTGAAAAGGTGGAATCACAGAGGGAATCAGTATGGGATGTACTGTTAGACTGGCATATGCAGGAGAACAAGTGAAATAAGAGCAAGAGAAAGGCTTCTCTTCCTACAGTACATTTTGCACTCTTATTTTCTGGCTAGGCGGCTTATGAGATGCATCAGCGCAAGCCATCCTGACTCAAGGTAAGCTCAGTTTCTACACTGCACATCTGTTTCTTCTAAAGCTTTTCAAAGAAAGGGGCAGCTTGCCAGCTGGTCATCATTTAAATTGGGGACGGGGAGCCTGATGTTGTTGGACTGTGGCCTCCACCACAGTGACAGATTTAGTGCGGTGCAGGCAATTCCCTGGCACAATGTGCCAAGCTGAGGGGGTGCAAAATAATAACACCTATATTTATACAGGTACCTACTGAGGGGACGCAGGTGGCGCTGTGGGTTAAACCACAGAGCCTAGGACTTGCCGATCAGAAGGTCGGCGGTTCGAATCCCTGCGACGGGGTGAGCTCCCGTTGCTCGGTCCCTACTCTTGTGGGACACGGGTGGCGCTGTGGGTAAAACCTCAGCGCCTAGGACTTGCCGATCGCATGGTCGGCGGTTTGAATCCCCGCGGCGGGGTGCGCTCCCGTCGTTCGTTCCCAGCGCCTGCCAACCTAGCAGTTCAAAAGCACCCTTGGGTGCAAGTAGATAAATAGGGACCGCTTACCAGCGGGAAGGTAGACGGCGTTCCGTGTGCTGCGCTGGCTCACCAGATGCAGCTTGTCACGCTGGCCACGTGACCCGGAAGTGTCTGCGGACAGCGCTGGCTCCCGGCCTATAGAGTGAGATGAGCGCACAACCCTAGAGTCTGGCAAGACTGGCTCGTACGGGCAGGTGTACCTTTACCTTTTACCTACTGAGAAGATCCATTTAAAAAACTGTAATTCCCAAAGGAATTAATGTGAAAATAAGTTTTACAAATTTGTTACAGTAGCACCTTAGGTGCCACTGGAAGGATTTTTTTTTATTTTGTTTCGACTACGGCAGACCAACACGGCTACCTACCTGTAACTGTGAAAATAAGAGGTATTGCAAGGGCAAACTTTGTCCTCGCTCAGGCACCATATTACCAAAGTCTGCCCCTCCCTGTCCATCAGCCCCAGCCAGCATGGCCAATGGTCTGGGCCACAGGTTCCCCTTCATTGATTTGAATCTTAAAAACAAAAGGTGTGAAGTTTCTCTCCCCCACCTACCCTTTGTGTATAACTTAAGCTACATAGCCACAGGATAATTCCTGATTGTTGAAAGGTATTCCCAGCAAACCATGCAAGGTTTAGGAGGGGGGAAAGGCCAAGGTGAATAATGCCAGAGCTTCCTTTTGGGTCCAAACACCATGTTGTGTTCAAACAAGCACCTGCCCCTTGGCCCAAGAGTGTGTGTTCTAGAGAGCAGCTTCTGATGCCACCCACTCATCCCGAATCAGAGGAGCTTCTCCAAGGAGCTCAGGGTGGTGCATGTTGTTCTCCTTGCCCTCATTTAATCCCCACAACAACCCTGAGAGGGCGGCTAGGCTGAGAGACAGTGACGGTGAGCTCCATGGCCTAGTGGGGATTCAAACCCTGGTCTCCCAGGTCCTAGTCCAACACTCTAACCCCATAGTTCCCAAGGTGAGGCACGTGCCCTAAATTTGATTTTTAAGGGGGGTAATTTGAGAATGAGTTAGACCAAGTTAACGGCCTTTTAGGCTTCCTCCACGTGAACAGGAGTTCACTTTTTGAATATTAATTATATGTCACGGGAGGGGGGGCATCAGGATTTTAGAGATGCTTAAGTGGGGCATAGGGACCAGGGTGGCGCTGTGGGATAAACCACAGAGCCTAGGACTTGCCGATCAGAAGGTCAGCGGTTCAAATCCCCGCGACAGGGTGAGTTCCCGTTGCTCAGTCCCTGCTCCTGCCAACCTAGCAGTTCAAAAGCACGCCAAGTGCAAGTAGATAAATAGGTACTGCTCCGGCGGGAAGGTAAACGGCGTTTCCGTGCACTGCTCTGATTCACCAGAAGCGGCTTAGTTATGCTGGCCACATGACCCAGAAGCTGTACGCCGGCTTCCTCGGCCAATAAAGCGAGATGAGCACCACAACCCCAGAGTCAGCCACGACTGGACCTAATGGTCAGGGGTCCCTTTACCTTTTTAAGTGGGGCATGGCCAAAAAAAGGTTGGAAACCACTGCTCTAATCGCTATGGCACACTGGTATTTGAGATTAATTTTAAAAAGCACAGGTGACCTTTTATCAGTGCAAGCGGGTTCCAAAGAGGTCGGCCATGTTAGGAGAAGCAAGACGCCACCCGCCACCTCAAAAGTGGGGTCTCGGGCAGCCCAAGAAAGCTCTCCGGCCCCATAAAACTGTTAGGCCTTCGAGGTACCCCCAGACTCCTCCTCCTCCTTCCGGCAAGGACAGATGGACGCAGCGCTCACCGCTGTGGGATTTCGCCCAATGTTGCAGGTTGGTGCTCCTTCGCCTGCTCTGGCGCGAAGCTATGCAGCTCCCCCCCCCCCCGGCGCCGGTCAATGCTGAGGCAGGAAAGCGGGGCTCTCCAGGGACTCCCGCCGCGCGGCTCCCATGGCAACCGGAGCTGGTGGGCTCGCGCTTGCCTCGGCTGCTCCTGCTGCTTTTTGCAGCCGAGGACGCACGGGGAGAACCATTTTGCTCCGCAGACCCGGGCGGGGTGTCTGACTTGTCGAGGGTTAATTCGTCTGCGGCTTGTGGAAGAGACCCGCTGACCGGAGGAGGTGGTCGCCGCGGTGCAACCAGCAAGCGGGGCTCTTGCAATCCCATGCAGCGCTTGCTGCTCTGTGCATGGGGTTTTTTTAAATTAAAAAATAAATAGATACTAAGCGCCGTTGCACTTCAGCTCCGCTCAGCCTCTGCCAGTCGGGGAGGATAAGACTTACAAGCCCCAGTCCGCATCTGAAGGGCCACCGGATCTCTTATGCCCCCCCCCCCGTGGGAAATTGTTGCATTTTATTACTGTCTTAATATTTTATTGGAATAATTTCATTTATATAAAAGAGAGTGACAAAAGAAAAAGTGAGAATGAAAAAGACCCTCAATTACATTTCCATACATTGTATACAGATGTGTATAATCTTACTATCCTAATACATACATCATACACGTGGTTTCATAACTATAATGCAATAAAAATTCTCTTCTTCCCAAGAAGAAAATCCAACTGAATTGGTCATTTGTGCACTGACTTGGGACAAAGTTGTTTCTATTTTTAAAAAATTCAAGCTACATATATTAATTAGCTTATCAAACAATTACTGGTTTGGGTTCTTAGAATGGCTGTGCCAATCAACCAGTGGAACTTGCTCTGTTTAATTTCCTCCTGATTTCATTTTCTTCAAACAAACAAACAAACAAACAAACCCATATTCTTGTAATACTGAATAACATTGCAAGCAACTGGTGATATCAAACTACTAGCTCACATTTTCCCCATTTTAATCTGGTTTTACTCTTTCTGGGAGAAATCAGTTATACAGTATCTGATTTTTTAAAAATGTTACCAACAACCTGTTCAAACAACCTGCTTGCAGTATTAAGCCTCCACCTGGAAGCACCCTGGGTCCCCATTAGCTTGACTCCTCCATCATCATTTCCAACCATAACCAACTCCCAGACATCTGGTTTATTGAGAATTATCCTGATTTTGTTTGCACAGAGTTTGCAAGGATGTTAGATAATGCTGATTGTTTATTGAGTATTCCTTCTGATTTGTTTTACTGGAGGTTGTACAACATGGCAATTATTATCCAGCACTGTCCAGTACATTTCCCCTACCATTTTTGTTAACACAAGAACTCTGATTTGGGGCAGGAAGGAGGTTTGTTGCACAAGGGTACCAAACCCATTTTAATTACACAACTTGAATTTGCCAGTATAAGACTGAATTCTACTTGCAAAATAGTCTGAGAGCAACTGATGGAGTTGGTCAGAAGTACAGGGAGCAGCTTAGAGAATGAACTTATTTTGCTGAAAGATGGAACTGCTTGGTTGAGTTCAGGAATCTTGTGTTATGGAAATGTAAGATTAGGAATATTTTTGTTTATTAAACTGTCGTAGCAGCATTGCCGAAGGATGGTGATTTTTGGAAGATGTGTTTTTGAGATAGAAGAATGCAAGGTTTGCTCTTGCTATTAATTACAATAAGAATTAAATTTAACCCAAAAAATTAGAATGTGAATTTTGAAAAATACAATGAACGGATCATACTGAGCTCAGAGTTGCTTACATTTAATGTTAGGATGCTTATAAGATTGGGATCAATAATCAGTAGCTATATTGCACTTTACCGTTTAGTCTGAACAACTGCTGTGCTTTTAGCAGATTCTGTATTTAATCCTACCATAAACTGGATCATTTATTGTTATTTGTTTTTTGAGGGTGAATAAAGCACAATATGCTTTTTGCGACTGATAGCTTTATGACAAAGGGAGAGACAGACCTTGGCAAAATAAGAGTACTGTAGAAGGCTCTCAGGAACACTTTTTAAAAAATTTAACATATTGTCCTTATTTATTTGCTTCTTTTTGACTTTGTGTGGTTTGTGGAGTTTGAACTATGCATATGACACTTATTTATTTATTTATTTATTTATAATGTTTTTTTCGCTCCCGCCATCCTTGCCTCTTTCCTGATTAACATTGAAATGAGTTTTGTCTAACTCATTTCCTCCTTCTTTGTGCCGTTTCTAATGATTTTGGGCCAATCCTAATTTCCATTAAAGTAATCGATAGACAGACTCCCATTGATTTCGGAGGAAGCTAGTTTGGGGCTTTGATGTTTCCTTTTCTTGCAGCTCAATATTATTTTCCCATTCAAAAATGTAAGAAATTGACTTGTTTAATATTTTTCTTTTTATCCTTGCCCTTTTCACTTTTCACCCAAAGTGCTGAATAAAGGAACACTTATTGGCATGACCCTGCTCCATTAAGAGCCCAGATGTAAGATTTTTGCTGGCAAGTAAGTGCTTAGGAATGGGGTGTTCCAGGTCGCCATGTTCTTATTAGGTCTGTCAGTGGCTATTAGTCATGAAACCTTAATGGACCATATTCTGAGTCAATAAATTGTTGATTATCCACTGCTGGAACCAAACAATAGGATATGGAAATTTCCATTGTTCCTATACATGAGAGGCAATGGCTGATCAAAATGAACTTTGCTCTGCACCATCAAGACCATTTCTCACATGCTTATATACTGGTCAAATGTCACAAAACTCTACTGTATCAAGTTGAGATTCTCCCACTAATTTTCAGAGACTGTATGGCCCAATGAACAGAAAGATAGGCAGGTATGAGGTCTGGTGCCTGCTAAACTTTGGTTTCAGTAGATGGTCTTGATTTGGGCAAGTCATTGGCCAGGTTTTTGGTGTAAGGCTAAACCATTGTTTGTTTAGCTTAGCTCTGGTTTGTTTGAACATCAGAACCTGCCCGAAGCAACTAACTATGGTTTCTTTGGGGCCAACAAGCACAACCTGAAATTACAGATTGCCTCCATGGTGCTGGCATTTTCCAGGAAGGATTCAAGGGTATACGAGAAATTTAAGTTTGTGCAATTAAAGTGAATTGAAGCATTCTGCTGCCTTGGTGCAACAAATGACAAGAGAGCAACCGAGCAGCAATTTCCTGTCTTCTACAAAGCACTTTTGTATAAGAGCCAGGTATACACAGAACGGGCAAGGAACATCAAACCAGTGTTAGTAAAACAAATGTGGTTTGCTTGATCATCCATGAACCTGGATTTTTCTACAAACCACAGATGTTTAAAGCAAATAACAGTGGGTTTAGCATTATGCTCACATGCAGTCATTGTCTCAGTCTTGGTTTTCTTGTCTGTGAAAATGAGACTGCTACTTATCTACTTCTGTGTGTGTTATAACAGATGTGATAAGGATTGTGAAGCAGTACACAGTAAAAGTTGTTGTTTTGCAACTCCTGTAATTGCTATTTTAATATTAAACTTACATGGGCCACATCTATTGTAAGAAAATGGCTCTTCTAGCTCACATTAACTTAGTGTTCACATGAGTGCAGTGTGAGAGGAGGCCCAAAGTGCTGCTTATGTAATGTGTATTTCATTGTTCATATGTATATAAGGCTTTTTTAAAGTGTTGGTTCCATAGTTTGTTTACCATTCTAACAATATGAAAATTTTACATAATCTTACAAAAGAAAGAAAGGTGAAAAAGAAGTATTAGGAGAAAACACATATTTTACCTATAGATGGCTACTTTGTATATTTTAAGAAGACAATTCAGTGTGCTGAATTTATCTAATAAATGCTGTCACTTAAAAGTCTTTATCAATTATACAGAAGTTAAGATAAAGATTTATTGGTCTGGAAGGTAAATAGTGACCAAAGATGAACCCAAAATCAATATTGACTTTGAAGGATAATCAGACCTGAGAACTGTCTCAGTATTAAGTCTGTGGTACAAAAAAAGGAAGTCTTCGCATTTCTAAAACCCACCCCATACAAACCCCACTGCTAGGTTGTAATAATAGAAAAGCAAATGAATTATAAGCGAAAAGCAATTAAGACAATGTGCTTTACATGCATATATGTATGCAGTGTGTGATGTTTGCCCAAAAAGAGCTAGTTTAGGAAATCCTCAAAGGCTTGTGTATCCCAAATAGGAATGTTTCCCTTTTCTATTTGAACAATAAGCTTTTAAAGGAAAAATGCCTTCATTGCAAAAACCTACTTGCCATGTAGCATGTCAGTACATTGTCCTGGCCATGATACTGCCTTGCATATGTAAACTTTAGGGCTTCTCAGTTTTAACTGGTAGGATTGACTGACAGTGCAATCCTATGCGTCTTTATTTAGAATTAAGTCCCAAATTGAAACTGAATCCAGAGACGATTGAAGTGCTGTAGGTGGGCATGTCTTAGGTTCTGGAGCTGGCAGAGTTGCCCGTTCTTAGTGGGGTTGCACTCCCCCTGAAGGAGCCAGTGTGTTGTTTGAGGGTGCTCCCAGAACCACCTTTGGCTCTCAAGCCACAGGTGGCCTCTGTGGCTAGGAGCACCTATGCCTGCCTGATACATCCACTAAAGCCATTTCTGCAGAAGGATATCCTGGCTAGGGTTACGCATGCTCTGGCAACCTCTGAGCCCAAAATGTGTTCTAGGAGCCTTTGAAAATGCTCCAGAAATAGCAGCTGATGTAAAATGCCGAGCCAAGAATGCTGCTGGGAGAAGTAGGCCACGAACATATCTACACAGGTTGGCAATTGTTTCCCAGCTCCAATGCAAGGTGCTTGCTTTGACATTTAAATCTCTCAAGGGTTTGGGACTGCAAGGACACCTCCTCGCGTTCTGTGCTCAAGAATCAGCAGATGGGGCCTTCCTGGTGGTCTCTCCCACGATGTAGTAGGTGGGGTGGGGACCCAGAGACAGGCCTTTTCAGGGATGACTCACATTTTCAGAACTCCCTACCTACTGAGGTGCACCCAATATACCCTCCAACATTTCTCCAA